AATAAATGTAAGCAAACTTCGAATTATAATTACAATTGACGGCAATATTAAAAGCGTGGTTACACTTAATCGCGTGGACGGTATTACCACAAATTGTGATTGTATCGAGACGTAAATTGAATCGATACATATCTCGACATTTTTAATATTTGAAGTTTTAACGAATGAGAAAAAGCGACGCAATTCCACGGCCTAACAACACACACACATAACGTGGAAAATACGTCGTGCACGATACACTAACACATCGTCAGTCGCTGACAAATTATTACATTACTTAATTCTAGATCATCGTGCCCAATGTCTCTCTCCCATTCAAGTAGCACCTGGGCACGTGAATGAGATCCTGACAATGGGCACGGAAAGGGTTAAATCTGAAAATCCTGATCTAAAAAGATGATTAGTTCGTGTAATTTTTATTTAACGGACTAACGTTCTTTGATTTTATATCTGACTACCTCGTATCTGATTAAATTTACTTTATTAATTTAATAGTAACTAAGTAACTCTACTTTATTAATTTAATAAATCAGAACAAAATTTTAATATTGCAAAAAATGTAGCGTTAATTGAAAAAGACTGTGACTCGATCAAATGGAATAATTGACTTCAAATATATTACTAAGAAAGAAATAATCTCAGGCGATCTCTTTATCAAAGCACATACTCGAAAATGCAGAAGCAGTGTTCAAAATTATTGCTTTGATTCAAAAATCTGCCTGTCGCGAAGTGTCTTCTTGCACGTAAAATTTCACATATTCTTGTGCGGGAAAAAATGAATTTTAACTCGTATTTTAAATTCTAGCCAAAGTGAAATAAACGAGCGTGACTTAATATTGTCACGATTAATTCATTGCTTAAGAATAAGTATATTTACGTCAAACAAGTATATTCGTGTATATATTTGCCAATTGCAAATATTCATACGGAATGTTAACATGCATGTTTACAAGTAGCACGAATATATTTTGAAATGTATATGTTTTAATTATTAAAAACCAATTATAATCGCGACGTGCAAGAAGACCTATCCTAAACTAATAAATTTAAAAAAAGTATGTTACTACTCACGGGTATAAAAAATACCCGCGGTCACTATGCTCGCAACAAAATTCTACGTAATACAACCGGTCACCCGTGCCGATTCGGACCTTTCATCCTACGACATGATTGAGTGACCGGAGGAACAAAAATGCATGCGACTCACCGTTCGAAGCGAAGAAACAGAGGACGTACCATGGATGCTCTGCTACCCCAGCGAATATCATCAGGGAGACTAACATCAGGCAGGATCCGTTGAAAGGTCAATGGTAGAAATGGAGGTCGCAAAAAATCTGTTACAAAACAAAACACGATGAGTGATTGCTGACTATTTGAAAAGTTGGAGGTAATGAAATATGGAAGTTTATTAACTTTAGTAACTTTAGTAAAAATAAAGATTAAAATTCTAATAAACTTTGATAAGTATAAAAACTGAAACTCTAATATAAAAGTTTAAAATCTAAAAATTAAGAATCTAATGATTTCTGAAAGATGTTAGTCATTTGTTTCATAATTATTTTATTTTAATAAAAGA